TCCCTAATATTCTGTGATTCTGTGAAAATAAGTTAACAAGCTCCTGCCTTCAGTGTATCACTTGTCTTACTAATATGTCACTTCTAAATGTTAAGTGCAATACAAAAGCAATACTAATAATGACAGGAAAAAGATTGAATAGAAGAGGCGATAATGGTTGTTAAAAAAACCCCAAACAACTGAAAATCGTGATTAACAAATACGGAAACTTAACTGGGATACTTGAATGATATAATTCATCCCAATTTCTAGCTTCATGAGATCTGTTCAAAGATTAGTTTGTCCTCCTACTAAATCTAATACTCAAAGATTTAGCTACAATGCTTGGGATGTTTTGGTCTCGCTGTACATAATTTACATAAAAGTTAGAAGTGTGGGACTAAGGTATGGGAAAGTAAGCATCACGTTGCCTTTCCTCCCTAAAATTGTGGAAAAGAGTACATATAAATTGACTAGGTAAATTGCCAGAATAGAGTAGCTTTTTTGAGAATGGACCTTGAAAATCTTCTGCATGATTTGTAGCAATGTTTTATTTCCCCATTGGTCTTTCTCCTGGTAGACCGAGGATCTAGTTTGCTTTTTATACTGTGAAACTTTTCCAGCATCTCTGTTAACAGTGAATAACTCGGACTGAAATTTAAACAGAAAAGATAAAAGTATTCATCCCTGAGATACTCCATGCAGAGGATGGTTTTGGATGAGTGAAATAGTTCTTTACAGAATTAATCATGAGTGTAGTATTGTAGTTATAGAATGAAGAATTCAGCGACACTTGGGCTTAAGATACCCCAGTGCGTGGCTTGGGGTAGAACCACTGTATGACAGGATAAGGCTTGACTGCCCTTTTTTCCCTGTTTTTTTTTTCCTCTCTCCTCCAAATGAACACTTTGTGTGTAAGATATGTGCATATCTTTTTGGTAACCTCAATTTTATAAGCTGAGTTTACCTTGTTCATGGGATCAAAGAGATCAGGAGTTTATTTGCCCCGTTGAGATCCCCTGTGTGCAGTACATTTGGAATCTGTTCGGTGCATAATTGCATTTGTCATTTGGACACTTTAACCTCTTCCTTTCATCCTCTGCTATGCACGTGTACTGTTCCTGTCAGGTAGTGTTAAGGTTTATTTGGGTGATTTTTTTCCGTTCCTTACCATATTGAAGGTTTTATGCTTGGACCTTGCTGTTTTCCATGTATTTTTGACATATGCTTACATTTTGCTAAACTCAGATTGTATGTAAAACTGAAGTTATTCAGAATAATTGAATTACTTTAGAGTTGTAATTGAATTACTTTAGGGTTATAATTGAATATACAATTTACATTCTTAGGAAGTATTTTGAAATGCTATATTAGACTGATCTATTTTAATTTTTCCTTTCATATTCTTTGAACTACACAAAGTTCCGTGATGCTGACTGTCAAAATCATTATCACAGGTTCACAGCCTAGAAGCAAAAGCTGCTTTTTCTGTGCTTGTTAAATAATGCAGCTTTGCATGTATAGTTCAATGATTAATACACTTTTTGTTTTAGGTGGGTGTTGTCTAAAACCAAGAAAGAAGACACAGATGATAACATTGCTAAATATGATGGTAAGCGGTTTTAATGTTTACTTCCACTATAGAGTTTCTGATGTTCTACTCAATGTGTAGGCATCTCTTTATCTGACAGTTTTTTAAGGCCGAAATAGGTTTCTACAATAAAACTCAATAAATATGAACCAGAGCTTTGAAACAGTCTCTATATTAGCAATGCAAAGGCTTGAATAAAATGACCTGTCTAAAATGTATGAATTCTTTCATGCAATATTGCAATTTAACAGAAATCCAGTGGATATTCACACATGCTACAGGCTTGTGCAATAAATGTAATTAAATTTTGTGATGTAAAAACAATTTGTGTTAAATGTGTACATTTTTCTAATCAGTTTCATTGGTTTATGGTAGATTATGGTAAGGGTGTGGTTCTTTCTTACCATGGAGTCCATAGCTGGCTTTTTTTTTTTTTAAGTTGGAAAATTCTTGTTTACACCTAAAACTGAGATTTTGATGATTTTCTTTCTTTTGGCTATAACAGTTATGAAACAGGGGTTTTTACTGCTGTAGAAACAGCTACTTGGGGAAATAAAAAAGAAAAAGCTTGACACTTCTTGTTGCTACAACTACTTGCACTCTTTTTCCCTAAGCTTTATTTCTTCCTTGCTGTCTGAGCAAGAACATTGGGTTAGATGGATCTTTGGCAAGACGGTTTTCTATTTTATCATCTAACTGTGGAGCTGGAATTTTAGTGGTTTCTCATTGTTGAAAAGTGCTGGTTAAAACATTCTGTCACTGATTTGATAGAAAGATGTGGGCAGCAAATTTGTGTACCATGAGTGGTTTTGTATTTGAATGTTGTGGAGCAGTTAGTTTGAGGAAGTGTGAGCTGGACTTGAGTAATGTTTTGTATCCACAGCAGAATTACCAGTAATGAATTGGATGATTATTGTTTAACTGCTTTGATATCAGATGTCAAAATTTCTTCCCTACTTTGGCAACTAGTCTTTATTTACCATTAACTCTTGGCTTTTAACCAGGCTGTGATTCTTTGCTTCAGCCTGCATTTTTTTCAAAGACTCTGTGTGTGTGTGTTTTAGGAAGATGGGAAGTAGAAGAGCTGAAAGAAAACACAGTGCCTGGAGACAGAGGATTAGTGTTAAAATCGGTGGCAAAGCATCATGCAATATCAGCTATGCTAACAAAGGCATTTATTTTTGATAATAAACCTTTGATTATTCAGTAAGTAATCCCTCAGATTTTTTTTTTTTACTTAATATTTATTATTATTAAAATCTTCAAGTCAAGTGAATCCCTGTAGAAAAATACTGACTTCTGGTATAGCACTGACCTATCAAACTGTAAGTATGAACCATGTAGTAATCAAGTACAATTTTAGTGCAAGAGTTAAGAAGTGATATTTAAGCTCTTTTGAAACATTTTTGGACATAAATCTAATATTTTACAAGCTTACTGAAAAAGCTAATTAATTTTTAGTCTTACTCTAAAAGATCTAAATCATATATAGTTTGAACACAGTGGTTTTTCCACTTACAGAGCTACACTGAAGTATTCTGTAAAAGCAGCTTGAATCATGAACACATAGCAATATTGGAGATGGTGAGCACCGTGGCAATATGAATGTTTTTTTCTGATATTCAAGCTGCTTTCTTGTACTTACAGACATACCCAGATAACTCCTCTGGCTAAATTCAGTGTGTCATATGGGCAGTTTCACAGATGGCACAAACTTTCTAGAGCTCTTGCCAATGTATTCTTCTTCGCTTTGATGTTTATATATTGGTTGATACCACCTTGAAACTCTTCTTACTGCTGATACCAACTGTAGCACTTGCTCCTGTGGCATTTTTTGACTAACATTGCTGCTGTATTGGCTTGTGTGGCAATTAAAACCTTTTGGTCACGTAGAAGTGTCTTGACAGCAGTGACTAATACACAGTCTTAATGTATTCATCATTGGAACTGCAGATTAGAAGTTAATTTGTATTTGTCTGATACTTGAAATGTTTTGTTGTTTGTTTGTTTGTTTAACTTGTTCTTTGCCTAGATACGAGGTGAATTTTCAAGAAGGCATTGACTGTGGTGGTGCATATATTAAACTTCTCTCCAGTAGCGATGACTTGAATCTGGTATGTCCTTTTACTTAACATTTGCTATCAGTTGTTCGTTTGAGGAATGCATAATTGTTCTTGTGAAATGTCAAGTAGAAACTAATTCCTAATGCATCCTAAATTCTTAAAAGCTTCCCAAATGTTTTAGCAGAAGATTGAGCAAGGTAATACTATGCATGTAATTCATGAGATCTACACAAAACCTTTGGAGTTGTGCATTTTTTACTGGGGGAACATTTGATAACATTATTCTTGTTATAATGACCATTCATTCTAATGAAACTCACAGATAATCTAAAACTTAAAGTAAGATGTTAAGATCTATATTCACACAAGAAATCTCAAAATGTTAATTTTGGAAGGTTAGAATTAAGAGTTTGCTGTGATTAACATTCTCCTCTTAGTTCTGCATGAGTGATGTCTTACATCCAGGACAAAGAACAAAGAACTTCTATATTTGTTTAGTCTGCCTTTCTGCAATAATAGAAGCCACAGCATCTCAACTCCTAACTTATGAAACAATTTTTTTTACTGCACACAACATGGCATCTTAGAAAGGTCCACACCTTGTGTTTAGAAACAGAAACTGATGGAGAATCTCTGTTCCCAGGAAAAGGTCTGAATGATCGGGTATGAAAAATTAGGAGATTGTTTCTCAATATATTGATGTGAACTTGCCTGCCCTTTCCAGACTTGTCTGCAAAACTCTTTATTACTGTGCCAACGCTATCAATTTCTTACTTAAAATGCTGCCTGTTCTGGCCAAGTCTCAGTTTGGGCACATGTGAACTGGTTGCTTCCACTTTCTCTATTTCTGCCACTACACTGGAGTGTAGATACAAGCTGTCTAGCCTGGGATGGAGGATATTCTAGCAACGTTTTTTGGGGGGGGGTTTTGGTGGTTTGTGGTTTTTGTTTTTTTTTTTACATTCAGAACTGTTAGTGAATTGTGACCTAGGAATTTGTGCAATGGAAATGTTGTGTTGACAGAGTGGATATGGCTGATATATACAACAGTTGCTGCAGCTGCTTTGATAAGAGCTGGTACTTGTGGTACACAGCAGCAGTTACAGAATAGGATTACATGTTTGGACATGTAATGTTACAGAATATTCAGAATATTACATCATGAGCCAGGAGGAACTTGTGTTGACCTAGCAGTACAAACATGAAGGGATAAGGGTACTTCCAATCCTGAAACAGGTTGCTGTGGCCACTTAAAAGCTGGCTACTCTAACTGCTGCAGGTTTGTGGCTGATTGCTGGTGTTGCACCAGCGTTCAGTAGTATAGTGACAGAAGTTTGTGAGCAATCACAGTTACAACCTGTATAGGTTATAGAAATTACTGGGTTTGAGATGCATGAGGTTATACCATTTGCTCACCAGGATTTAGTAAGCTGGAAAGGCAAGCTCATGGAAAAACAATAGTCTGGAAAAAACTTGTAACTGGAGTGTGGGCAGAATTCATCGTTCCCTCTCTGGGTAAGGTTTTTTCATCTGTCTATATTTAAAAATATACTTGTTTTAAACAATACATTTATGTCAGAATACATATTTCAAGAAGAAAACTTCCTAGAATCAAGTATTATTCTTCCTTCAAGCATTTGCTAAAGAATATAAGGCAGCATGTTACTACATATTCCAAATACAAAAATCATATCAATAGTTGAAAAATACTGACATATCTAAACAGCTTCCTGCAACATACTCTGAAGGAGAATAACTGTACCTGATATTTTCAGTGTTGTTTGTTTTTTAATGTGGAGCAAGAGGACTGATAAAATACTGGATAATAATATCCTGGTTTTTAATCTTTATTGAAGAATAAAATTGATAGGAACATCAATTGATAGGAACAGAATTGATTGTGAAGAACAGTAACTAGTTCCCTTCCATCTTTTAGTGTAAGGTTTGTAGAGGATTATAGATATTGGAGTGTTTTGATTTGTGACGGGCATTTCCACTTGACATAAGGGTAAGGTCTAAATAAATACATTAGTTTTCCCTTGAAGAGGCTTAAGTGATCTCTATGGTTAGTCTGTTCCCTGAGAACAGAGAGCACCCAGCAACTCAAGAGGACTGTTCAATTCCTTTCATGATTTACCCTACCAGTTTTCAGTTACCTTTTAGAAAAAAGTAACTATGCTGTATGTCACAGCATCATGGGAAAGAAGTACCCAGAGTGACATCATACAGTGTACAGTATAAAACATGCTCAGCTTTCTTGCTTCTACAGGAATACTTTTTTGACAAAACACCTTACACTATTATGTTTGGACCAGATAAATGTGGAGAAGATTACAAACTACACTTTATCTTCAGACATAAGAATCCTAAAACTGGAGAATATGATGAAAAACATGCAAAACGTCCTGATGTAGACCTAAAAAAATTCTATTTGGACAAGAAGACACATCTATATACTCTCGGTATGGTTTAATTCTTATATGTTTAAATGGGAGAGATTAAAAGTGTGTTTCTGTCCACTGAAGCTTTGTATTTGAGTCTACTTTTTTGTTTGTAATAGTCTGTTAATTCTGAGGGGTTGTTGCTTAACGATTTAGGCTTAAATGATCTAATGACTGATCTTAAATGATTTAATGACTGATCTTAAATGATTTAATGACTGAGCTTAACTGCGGGACATAAAAGTGGCTTTGAAATGCTGCTGCTTAATATTCAGTTACGGGGAAAAAGACATACCAGCCCTGGCCAGCCTTTAGTGTAAAGAATTGATTAATACTTTCAGTACTTATTATGATAAAAAAATTTTTAAGAAAGATACTAAAAAAACCCAAACCCATCCAATATTCTAGGAAGGCACTAGAATTCACAGGAATTCAGTTAAACCTCCAGCGTGCCTCACGCAAGTCTCCTCCGTGTGTTAGGAGCTCTCACCAACACCTGCATCTGCAGCAGTGTCCGTGAACAGATGTGTTACTGCATTCTCTGAAGATGAATGAATATGGGCTGGTTTTAATTCATGTGATGTCTCTTTTTGTACCAATGAACAGTATGGCAGAGATGAAAGTTTAATTTCTTAGTTCCTTTTTCCTCTCTCTTTCTAATTTTGGAGGAGGAATAAATAATCAGAGAAGAATGGGCTAATCTGTGGCACACTGCAAATCCAGCAACATTGACGGCACTTTTGAACTTCCATTGAATCATAATGGAAGGCATCTTCAATTGTTATGCCACAGGCAAACTCACTGGTCTTTAAAATGAATTGCTGGATGTGCCATAGCAAACTTTCACTTTTAGATAATAGGAATAAGTGAAACAAGACACTCATCTTGGGGTAAAGGAATGCATCTGTTCCTGTATTTGGGCTGTTCATTAGAAATTATTATTAAAGATACTGAAACTCAGATTGCATTTATTCTGTTATAATTGATCAAATAGACTCCATAAAGCCATGTGATTCTAATGCATCATGTGACTGATAACAGAGTTTAAAAATCAAGTCTTTGTATAATATCTAAAGTGATATAGGGGTTTAATTCTTGCATTTATGGATATTTTAATGCTGTTGAAAACTTAGGTGGCAGAAGCTTCATTAGATATTATCAAACTGTCATTGTGACTGTTACTGTGGTTTTCATTTTTATAAATGGTCACAAAAGTAGAATAGTATTTCCTTTGCATTAATAATCTTTGTGCTGAAGGGATATTTGAATGTATTTGTTAAGCACTTACAAATGTGCTCACTGGTGGTTAGAAATGGATCTGGATACAATGTCTGTTACTGAGTCTGACACTGCTCTGTTCTGTGTCCCTGGCTTCTCAGTGACTCACACTTGCTGAAATACTTAAACATTTGAAGAGAATTTTCTGTATTCACAGTCTGGCATTTGAGGGAAGTGGCTGTCAGATTTGAATCAGAGAAGATACTGCTTTGCTGGTCCTTCAGCTCTGTTACTGACACAGTTCTTGTGTTTCCATGCTTTCAGGTGTGAAATTGTAATTTGGTAGCAGAGATACCTTTCTTGGGGTGGAGGTTTGTCTCTCATTGTGTTTTAAAATAAATAAAGCAGAACTTTGGCCAAGTGGTAGGTTTTTGAAAAAATCTCTTAAAATATATTTGGTTGTGTTTCAGCAATTGAATTTGCTAGAGGTTTCATTTTTGGAGTCCTGATACTGGTCATACATCCCCACAGTAGCAACTTCGATGTTTTGTGTCCAGATCCAGGACCTGAGTGGGGAGTCTGTCTCCTGCTCTGCTAGTGAGGATCCTGTTTTCCTTTATTTGCCTAAGTCTGTGCTTATTATATATAGGTTTTGGTTAAAGATATTTGTAAAATGAATGCTTCTCTTATTTCTTTAATACAAATTTCTTCAATTTAGTGCTAAAACCAGATGATACGTTTGAAATGTTAATTGACCAATCAGTTGTCAGTAAAGGAAGTCTTCTTGAGGATATGGTTCCTCCAGTAAACCCTCCCAAAGAAATAGAGGATCCGAGTGATAAGAAGCCTGATGATTGGGATGAGAGACCAAAAATACCTGATCCAAATGCTGTCAAACCAGATGACTGGTAAGGAGAACATTTTTGTCTGTATAAAACCTTTTCCATGCAGTTTGTTCATTTGAAAAAATTTGACTGGTTTAGTTTGGTTTTAATGACAATTGAAATATGTTTCACCACTAGAAGCACTAAAGTTTGAAAACATAACTGAGGTAGGTACAAGAATCTGGTCATCTTCTAAGGAAATAAATAATTGTGCTTTTTGCTGACTTGTACCTTCCATGGTTGCAATTTGTAACTAAGATTACTATATCTGAAAGATTAGGAAGTGCAGGCTTCCTAAACATATAGTCTTAATTTACATTCAATGATTTCTACTTCCTTTGTGTCAACTACTGTTCGTACAGCAACTCAGGAAGTGGAGGCAAAAAGTGGGAAGACCTGACTGACACTTGCCAGTTGATGGCAGCAATTTCTGAGCAAAGTAGTACTTTGAAACAATATAAATATAATTCATATATTTATAAACACATAATTGAATGTCTGAATCTCATGATCAGTGTATCTAATTCTGTTGTGCCTTTGAAAATCATCCCTTTCATACCAGCTACAGTCCTTTGAACAGAACATTGGTTCAATGTCAGGCTGCTGCTTTTTCTAACCTAAATTTGTAATTGAAGGGATGAAGATGAGCCTTCCAAAATAGAAGATCCTGATGCTGTTAAGCCTGAGGGATGGCTTGATGATGAACCACAGTATGTTCCAGACCCTAATGCAAAAAAACCAAAGGACTGGTAAGAACTTGATCATAAACGCAGGTTGTTAACATGTCTTGTAGATAAGCCTGCCTATTCTCTGTGGCAAATTATGGGTTGTGGATCAGAAGTCAATCTACATCTCATTGTCTTTTGAGATGGTAAGTTGGAATGTGTAAGTATGGACAAATATTTGTTGTTTTGAGGAGGCTGCTTTTATTAAAACATTAACATATCAGTTGCCTTTTGTTTTCTACAAAAAACAGAATATGAAGGACCCCTTTGAAACAATTTGCTACAGTGTTAAACTATGAAACCATTTAAGTTGATTTCTTGAAATTATCATATATTAGTCTCAAAGGGATCTCTAAGCATCTTATGGAGAAGTGTTTCAAGCTGTCTGCAGGTGCCACAATATAATTGCATTCAATCATAATGTGGTAGTGATGAACATGTGGCTTAAAAAAAAAAGGGTGTAGCACTCCTTTTAATAAATATATTTATTTATACTGCTGGGTGGAGTTCTGTGAGCTGGTCAAAATTCTGAGGTTGTTATAGCAAAATGTGTATGGCTGACTTCAGACCGACTGCTAGTGTTCAGACCAGTCTGATCTCAAATCAGTTATTTTTAATTTTTTTTTTTCCCCTGTAGGGATGAAGAAATGGATGGGGAGTGGGAAGCTCCTCAGATCCCTAATCCAAAGTGTGAGACTGCACCTGGTTGTGGAGACTGGGTGCGTCCCATGAAGAATAACCCAAACTATAAAGGAAAATGGAAAGCACCTATGATAGATAATCCTAACTACCAGGTAACAGCAATACTCTAGTTTGCTGTTAAAAGGTACAGAGTTGCAGGCAAGTCGACGTACTATATTCATCTAGGCTTTTTTACAGTATATTTGTAATTTAGAATGAGTCTGAATACCCTCACTAAATGTTTTGAGCTTTTTTTGTATTTAATTTGCCTTTTTTCTTTAAAAAAGGAAAATAGAAACGCTTCCTGTATTAAAACAGTTTCTCTGTTAAAAGTTGCTTTTGAAACAATTTGCACTGGTACCGTTTATTTTATAGGCCGTGTAGAATTGTATTCTGAATTATGTTATTTAATTCAATTATATAATTAAATATTTATAAGTTTTAATGTCTTTTCGGTGAACAATTTTTTTAATTAAAAAAAAATGAAACCTTTTGCTAGGCAGATTGACTTACTAGCTCTATTTCAGTAGAAGTGTCAATTTTGGATAATTAAATTCCCCTCCTCCCCTCCAGATCCAAGAGGCAATCGGTTGGATATTAGAGACAGTTCCTTTGTATTAGTTATGGCTGGGGAGTACTTGGATTTCATTTCTGTGAGCTGAAGATCCTCAGCACATCTGTAAACACCATCCGGCTCTAACTTGCATAGGTGCAATAAGGATGGATTGTCCTTCCCTGACGCTTCTGGTTACAGTAGCTGTCAGGTTTATATATGTGTGTGCGTGCATGTGTGTGTGCATATGCGTGCGTGTGTGTGCGTGCGTGTATGAATATGTGTGTGACCGTGCGTGTGCATGAATATGCGCGTGTGTGTGTATATGCGTGTGCGTATATGTGCACGTGCGTGTGTCTATCTGCGTGCATGTGTCTATCTGTATCTGTGCGCGTGTGTGTATCTGTGCGCGTGTATCTGTGCGTGTGTGCATCCGTGTGGATGTGTGTGCGTGTGTGCATATCTGCGCAAGTGCGTGTGCATATATGTGTGTCCGTGTGGTGGGGTGCGTGTGTGTGTGTGTGCGTGCATGTATGTGCGCGTGTGCGCATGCGAGTGTGAGCATGTGTATATCTGTGTGTGCGCATGCACGCGCGTGTATGTATGTGTACATGTGTATGTGTGTGTAAGTGTGTGTATCTGCGCACGTGTGCGTGTGTGCGCGCATATGTGTATGCATGTGTGTGTGCATACGTGTGTATATATCTGTGTGCAAGTGTGTGCATGTGTGTGTGTATATGTCTGTGAGTGTATGTGTGTGCACACGTATATGTGTGTGTGTATGTTTGTGTATGCGTGTGTGTCTGCATGCGTGTTTGCATATGTGTGTGTGTATCCGTGTGTGCTTGTATAAGCATGTGTGTGTGTGTGTGTGTGTGTGTGTGTTTACCCACCCTGGAAGGCACTGTGTGGATCACAGAAGGTGGTCCTTAGCCCACCAGACAGCAGATGCTCTACCTCAGAAGATTCCATCACAGGCTACAAAATACTGACCAGTGCCCTTACAAAAATGTACGTGCTGTATTGATGAACAAAACCCAAAACTCCCTATTACATATGGAGAGACTAGAGGAAGGAGTAGTACAAATGTCTTATTTACCTGCAGTATTAGGAACTTTGTTTCCTAAACTTATTCTAGGAAGTTTACAAGGACTGTGCTTGAGTCGCCAGTACCAGGAAGAACAGAGATATTTGTACTGTCAGTTATTACTGTAACCCTGTGTGGATGAAAAACGTCTCTTTTAAGAGGTCTAAGCCAGAAAATTGAGACCCATCTGCCAAAATCCTACAAGCTATTACAAATTCTGGTTTTATGTAGCTTAAACCTACTGCTTGTCTTTTTAAACAGTGCATTTAAAATAGTTAGGAAATCCTGATGGTTTTAAAATTTGTTTCACAGTTTGTTTTTTAGTGAGGTATAAGTGCTGTGATTACTCTTTTTTTTAATTTTTTTTTTTCTCCCTTTTTCTTAAAAGGGAATCTGGAGTCCTCAGAAAATACCAAACCCAGACTATTTTGAAGATCTTCACCCATTCGAGATGACCACTGTCAGTGCTATTGGTTTAGAACTCTGGTCTATGACGTCTGATATCTACTTTGATAACTTCATCATATGTTCTGAAAAAGAAGTAGCAGATCGTTGGGCAGCAGATGGCTGGGGCTTGAAGAAATTAGTAGCAAGTGCTAATGAGGTATAAACTTTCTATGTTCTTGATAGCCAGAAGTGATGAGGAAGTGATGCTGGAAGAATTTTCTGTCAGTTAGTGCTGACAGAATGTTAATTTGTCTGCAATTAATAATCTTGCTGAGTAACGATGATAGTTGTGGGGTTTTTTCCTTGGTTTGATGTTTTTTGCCTTTCCCAGATCAATATCTTCTTGAAATTAAAAGGATACAACATTTTACTTAAATGCCTAGTGAGAAATTAGCTTTGGTGTAGTTAATGAGTCTTCTGCTGTTCATGGTGGTACTCAGTACCTGTCAGCAAATGGAAGCTGAGTGAGTTACACTCAAAGACCTCTTTTTTTTTTTTTCTTTTTTCTTCTTTTCACTTGTGGCTAACTCTATTATATATGTTCTTTAGATGTTTCCCTCCCATGAGGAATGGATAAATAGTCACGTGTTTTTTCTGTTTAATAATTTTAGGCCTTTGGTTGCATAGATCCGTATTACACAGCTCTGAAAACAGTGCATTTGTGTTTATGGAGCTGCGTCTGCTCTTCTGCTTCTATGCCTGCAGTGACATTTTGTTTATATACTGCACTTGAGCAGCCACCACAGTTTTTTCTAGATCTCTTTCCTGTGTTATAGGGTGAACTTGTCCTGACGTACGGGATTGTAAGCCCCTCTAGTGGCTGCTGTTACTGACTACAGCTTCTTTCTAACTCCTGCATTTTATTTGATGGAGTGGCAAGAGCAGTTGTGGGAAAGAAAGGATGAGTTGGTGGCAAATGTAGCCAATTCCTGACAGCTGCTTTGGCGGCAAATGTAGCCAATTCCTGACAGCTGCTGTTCGTCACAGGATGAGCAGGTACCAACAGCGTATCTGCCCATGCAGTTAGGGAAGCCACCTCCTCCCACAAACTTGCTCTTTTCTGAAATGTTTGGGTTTTTTTTCTGGACCTATACATCTGCACTTGTACACACACTAACAAAAAAATACTCCTTGGGTCCCCTCACTCCATTGTGCCTCTCAAGCTCCCTACTTTAGTTGCTGATGTACCTTTTCCAGAGGTCTAATTCAACCAGACTCTTGCCTACACATCTGTGCCATTTTAAGTCAGAACTGGACTGGTAGGACAACTTAGTCCCTGAATAACTGGCTCTCAGGGAGAATGTGGTGGTATGGATGGAACAAGACTTTGCTCTTCAGGAGGCTGACTGCTTCTCTCAGTTTC